ACAATTAATATGTAAAAATATATCTGAGCAAACATTATTTGATCTTTACGAAATGCAGACATTCCATTGCTTTTGTAAAGGCCAGGTTTTTTAGTGCAACCTTTCCGCACTTCCCAATCCAGTTACACTGGCATGCAATATGTTAGTTTTAAAAATAGTAGACATGATCCTATCTACACTGTACCATTTCCTTGGAGGAAAACCCTCCCAGTGTGGCAAGGTGGTTTGACCTTTGAAATAAATATAAATTATTCTTAATAAGTAAAGCACATTTATATATAGGACCTATTCATACAACAAATGATACGTGTTCAGATTAAAATGTCATATTAATCATTTATCAAATAACCACTATTTTAAAAATCAACTTATTATTTTTTCCATATGTAGCTTCAGCACAACAATCACTACATTAATTTTAATCACACTATTATTTTTTTTACTTACCAATAAGTTCATTATGCTTATCTTTAAGTAAGTTTTCAACCCTTGCCACATCTTCTCTAGTCCCCATAGGAAATGCAAATTCGTCAGTTGAGACAATATTGTCATCAGGACTTCTGTTCTGTTTCTATCTTTGCTCTAACCTTGTAAGAACAATAATGTTATTCTTCAGCATAGTTTTTGTCTGCAGGAGGGTGGTGAAGATGAAACGATCTCTGAAAACCATAATACGAATAATTTATCGGTAAAGAAATCTGATTGGAATTAATGAAAATACCTTAAAATGACTACCAAAACGCACAAAATGCACCATTTGCACTTCCTTATTGCTAGTCTTAATTTAATAATCACCGAATTGCCTTTCAAAAAACATGAAAAATCTTAATATGACAAATATGCATATGCCAGATATTGGTGGTCAGAACACAAAACAACTTTAATGTAAACTGTATTATTTCTTCAGATATTGGTCAGTTATAAACGACCAATTTTTCCATATATTTTCTTATTCATCACCTTTCTACATGATCCGTAGGAATGGCTACTTCACCATCTTTATAATTTTTAGTTAACCTGAATAAAAAAATACTGTTAGTAGTAATTTATCTCAGCGAGAGTTATTTATTTATTTATTTTTACAAATTTAAGCAAGTCTCTTGAGAATTTTAACGAGCCGGGCCGCCTCGCTGCTGTGAATGCAGAGGAGACCGTGATGTGCAAATGTTTTGAAATGAATACTATTTCAAGAGAAGATCCCTGGCTTCATATATATATATGATAAAAGGTCAAAAAGCTCGCAGTCTTCAAACTAATTAAATTATTATCACTTAACAATGTCTCACTATTAAACAACTTCGGGAAATATCTACAATGTGCATCGGAGCTAAGATTAGCGTCAGTATAATGAATTATTGTTATTATTATTATTATTTGTATCAGTAGTAGTTTTTGTTGTAGTGGTAGTTCGTTGATATGACTTTATAGTGTCACTGTATTCCATTCTGATGAGCCGTTGGGGTCAAGGATTTAATAAATTGAAATAAGAAATAAAGGTGGCGGCACAACTACCAAATTGAATGAGCAATTAGTCGCATCTGTCTCGTTGGAGTGCAGCGCAGTTTTCAAGTCATTACATATGCCAGACGTTTTGCCGATATTTTAATAATAATATTCCGCTAGGCGGGACCACATTACCCTAGGTTCTAGATTCCGGTATTGCCAGCTCGATCTTGATTTCATATATATGCCTAACCCATAGTAGCAATACCAGGTACTAGTAAAAGCGACTCCACCACAAGGTATATTTAGCAAGCTAGCTTTTACGTTGCTCTGACACTCAGGGTAGACCACATAAGAAAAAGGGCCAATGTTCACTGGTAATATTCCAAGGTTTGTTTTAAGATATATACAAACTTTACTTTTTCCAATTGTTATCAATATAATTCATAAATCTGTTATGGGTCTTTTCCATTTAAGTTGTTATTAAAATGAAATTTACGTAAATAAAAGCCATAGAAAACCCTTCATAACACATTGATTAACTACATTTTTATTTTAAAAAAATATATACACTTTGAAAATTTATACCTTTTAATTGACTCGATCTTTTCAAGAGGCAAAAAATACCAGACTTTCAAATACAAAATACGAATCTTATAATCAATTTTTTTTTCATACCTATATCTTATAGGGCTATAGTAGGCCTAGGTGGAGCTTTCGCGTTTTGTTTCTTCCACTCAATAACAATGTTCTAATTTCCAGAATTTATGTTAAAAAAGCTGTTTTATAAATCAACATATTTCCTACATGTAAGCCTACATTGAAAAGATCTGGCAATCAGTGTATTTCAATATTATTAGGCTTACCTATTTTACATGAAATAATAGTGAAATCGAAGCCCAGTGGCAGCAGTCAGGCGGAGTAGAGTGGTCGACGCAGACGTCACGTGCAGCCGTCGCGTGCAGTAGGCCTACGTCACGTAAATTTTATAGGCCAATGAAATGCTTGGAAATTGCGCACTCCCAAATGAGTGAACAAAGGTAAAAAAAAAAACACTTCCGCCGAAATGAGGTAACGTTATTACAATACGCATACGCGTATTTGAAAAAAAAAAATCTACACTTTACAATACGATGAGAAAATCGCGAATGGCTCACCGGTGGACCGGTCACCAGCTACATTACCAACGGCAACCTGCCACCAGCTAACCACGAGCAGTAGACCCTACACCAGTGGTCCACCAGTGGCTGTTTGCTGTTTATAGCCACAGGTGACCCACTGGTGGCATGTTATCTGGCAGACGGGTTACTTGTCGAAACGTCCCCGCACCGATACTCCCCCGCACCGGTAGCCTATATCCCCACAATTACAGATATAGGCCTACTGAGGGGAAGTATCGGTGCGGGGATGTAGGCCTACCGTTGCGGGGATCTATCGGTGTGGGGTCGCATCGATGCGCATAATACAAAAAATTACTAAGGGGGATTATCGGTGCGGGGGAGTATCTACATGACCCCGGAAGGCTGACCTGGGGTGCATTTGACCACGTGAGTGTGTTAGATGATTTGAGAGGAGATTACGTTCGTGCTTGTTTTGTGCTTGTTTGTTTTGTTCTTCAAGTCCGACCTGAGTCCGATGTCCATTTTTTTCACACCACAGCCAGGTCAAGTTCACCAAAAATTCCAGCAAAATTTCGGCCCGCCTCTCTCTCTCTTATCTTATATGTGGAAATATGGAGATATTGTAGTGGGCTATTTAACAGATACATGTACGTCGAGGAGACACACTTTTTACAAATTTTTGTAAAAGCAAAAAAGAAAAATATCAAAAATATTAATGTAACAGATGTCCTGAGCTGTAGTGTCCTTTTCTCCCAAATGTATACCACACGGCTGGAGAGTTAATTTTTGAAAGCGGAGGTAGGAGTTATAAGGCAAAACACACACACTTTCTCTCTTTCTCTCTCTCTCTCTCTCTGATCATTCAATAGCTTTTCGGCTTTAGTTCCTTAACTCATTTTTTCATTTCTATATGAGATTATATGATTTAAAAAAGAAAAGAAAAGTCGGGATATATTTAACAGATAGGTCTAGGAGACAGTATTTTTACAAATCTTTGTAAGAATGAAAAAAGACAGTATCAAAATATTAACGCAAAAGATGTCTTGGCCTGCTGTGCCGTTTTCTCCTAAATGTAGCTGATTCCAGATGGGTGAAGAGATCATTATTTCCACTTGTTACTGTAGATTACGTATATTACGTAATTAAGAAACGTATAATTACATTTATGCTTGTAAGCCTGATATCACATAAGTGTGATAATAGGTCTAGATTTGTATTACATGCATGTATAACACAAGTAGTTTAGAGGGCCTACAAAATGTACTGAAACAATTTAATGATCAATAAATTATTATCATTATTATTATTATCATTAGGCCTATATAGAAAGCGAAGGCAGGAGTTGACAGGGATTCATGCCCCCCTTTCCCGCGGATCCAGGATTCATTGAAACTGTGCAGGTTAAAAGAAAAAAAAGAAATATATCGCATAATCCATAAAAAATACAATTGTAAACCCTGACGAAGGTGTTTTTTTCATCTTTGCACCGAAAACCACAATGTCCTCTAAAAACTACTCTCTGCGCCATCTATTAACAACTGGGGCCGTATTCTCGAAAGGTTGTAACTTACAAATTCTTGTAACTTTTCACGTAAGTCCGATCGTTCTTGTCAGTTGGTATTCTCGAAGTTTTGTAAGTTACAAACTCTTGTAAATATGCACGTAAATTTACAACTGCCTCCGACTTGTTGTAAGTCGCTACGAAAAGATCTATGCATGCATGCGTATTCGGGGTGAGAATGTAGTCTGCGGGATTTTTATGCTCATGTTAATTGTTGGATATTTTTGACAGCAAGTAAAATTATTAAACCATGGATGTATTGTTACCAGCGAGAAGGGTTAGCCTTTCGGATATTTCATGTTAGTTGCCTAAAGTTAACGATTTAGATGAGAATAATTCGTTTAGATCGCGTTTCGTCGATCGCGCAATGGCAACATTGCAGTTTGGTAGGGTGTCCTAATTTTTAAATTAAAACGAAAACGGGTTTTTTTAAAGAACGGGAAAGAACTATTCCTTACGAAAGGGGGTGGGCATGAAAAAAACAAGAACATATTTGGGTTAAACAATAGTGGCGACGTGACTTTTGAAAAAAAAAACCTCTTCTTGCTTTTGTCATCTTTATGTGTGTAGTAGGCCTATGACATATGCATGCCTCCATGCCGGATTAGCTATTGACTCCATTCAAGTTTGATCTTTGGCGTAGCTGGTAAAGGATAGAGAACTATGACCATCCCCGCCTGAACATCATTTTGAAGACTTTAAAAGTGAAGAGAAAGGAATAAACTTGTGAAACTATAATACCGATGTCATCAGGCACCATTCCAAAGAATCTAAATCAATCTAAATAGTAAAGTTTAATATTCTAAAGCAAAATTTGAAAAGAAAGGAATACTTTAAGATATATAATGACCAGTTATAATTTTGTAGTCAAATCGATCACTTATTCTAAACCATCGGCTTTTTTCTCGTGACTTCTCGATTGCAGGGCCAGGTCGTTGCTGTAACGGACTGTTTTTTCCTGCACCCGTGCACGCCAACGACAGCACTGTGCCTGACCCACCCGCCCACCTAATATACGTTTTACTTCTAAATGCAATTTTCAGAAAAAAAAATCTATAAAAAATACTGCATAAAAACCCGCGAACAGAGTTCAGTAAGTGGCGAAAGAGACACAGCCATGTCTTTTTCGGCTCTCAAAGCTATGTAGTA